AATCAACGTCTCTTTAACAACGTGATATATCTTTGCAAAATCGATTACTTTGTCAACGTTTCCGCAACACCTTTTGCGACCGGTTTTCAACGTTGATTCAACGCTGACATGTTTGCTGGGTTCCTTTTGCATTTATTTTACATTTTTTTATTAATTTTTATTATGTTGCATACAAATGCATTAAAATATATAAAACTGGTAAAGATATATTATTTTCACGGATAAGAGATTGTATTTATTACAATAGTAATAAATAAATAAACAGTAATAAATAAAGTTTTGGGGCTATCTATATAGGACGTCATCATTTTTAATCCCAATTTTTGACCCTCTCCCCTTTTTTGTCACCGGTTGTTCTTTTTCCCTATACCCCCTTAAAAAGGACGTCATTAAATCCTGCTCCTTCCCCCCCCCCCCCTGTATACGTTTACGTAGTTTTCCATGTTAATTAAACTAAAATAAAAAATCTATAAATTGACGTCCTTTTCTGACAAACTCCCTCCCTCCCCTTGTTCTTTTTTGTCTGTTTTATCTTAAATCCCTCCCCCTCCCTACTTGGATGGCGTCCTTTATGGATGGCCCCTTTTGTCTTTATTAAAATATATCCCATAAAAATGTGTTCTATATATCTTTAATAGAAAGAATTTTTATAAAAAATTGAAAAAAAATCTTATTTCTATGACTATCATTTTTAAAGTTCTAAGAAGCAGATGACATAACTTTAGAAATCAGAAATTATCCAGAGAGGAGCAAATCCAAAGTTGAAGATTCAAATTTTCCATTCGGAAGTGATATTATGTTTCGTGTTTTTTTAATCTTGTCAATTTTTTTAAATATAATAACATAACTACAAAAAAGCAAAACAAAACAGTTTGAGCAAAAAAGACTTGTAATTATTAGAAAAGTTTACTTATATTACATACGATCATGAATAAAACGTTATATAAGTGGATTTTTTACATTTTATAAACAATATATATAAATAAATAGCATATATGTTTATATATACATTGTTTATAAAGATGGTTAAGCGCAAATTAAAAAAAAAAAAATTAGTTTATATTAAAATTAAAAAATGATTTATATATCGTTTATTTTGCAAAAATTTTAAATCCCAAAATGTTTGTAATGAATTTTTATTTTCAGTATAAAAATATATAAAATTTTTATGGTTTTATTTTTATAAATATTGATAAAAAAAAAAAATTTCTAAAAAAAGGTTAAAAACGCCTTAAAAAAGGTTAAAAATATCATTTTTGACTTTTTTACAAAATAAGCTAGTTTATGTCTACAAACGTTATTGAATACATATTTTCAAAGAGTTTTGAAAAAATTCATTAAAATTATTCGTTTCAAAAAACTTTAAAACAAAGAAATGATTTTTAATAATTTTTTTTTTAATTGCGTTTTTCTCGAAATACGTAATAAGCATATTAAGGCGTTATGAAAAACAGCTGCAGCATATATTTATAGTAAAAAAAATAAATGTAGCAAAAAAAGCTTTTGATTGTCAAAAAAAAGTTTTAAATTTTTTTCTAGCTACAAGCTTTTTTTTTTTTTTTTGCCTCTACAGCAGCACCTTCTTGAGTAGCAGGATTTTCTTATTTATTTAAATATAGTATTTCTTTATTAAGTTTCAGACAACTTTTTTTATTAGGACTAATTACCTGACATAAGTGTCTCAATCATCATACATACTAGGGTTGTTCGCCGAAAAACAAAACTTGCGAAAATTTCGCATCTTTATCCTACCGTAATAGAATTGTTATTGCGGAAGTTGCACATGCAAAAATGCACATTCCGTAACGCGCTATACAAAAATATAAATAGTAAATAAAATTCCGTAATAAAGCATTGCGAAAGAAATCTTGCGAAACAAATCATTTCGTAAGAATACTTACGAAATAGTTCCTTACGGAAAAAGCATTCCGGAATGTTTAGTTACGAAAAAGACGCAAAAGATTTTATGTTACGATATATTTAAGATATTAACTGTTAACAGTTTAAATAATAAATAATAAAATTAAAAAAAAATGTTGTCAAATGATTCTTCAAATGTTTATACAAATATACCTAATATATATATATATATATATATATATATATATATATATATATATATATATATATATATATATATATATATATATATATATACATATATATATATATATATATATATATATATATATATATATATATATATATATATATATAAATATATATATATATGTATATATACAGTATATATATATATATACAGTATATATATATGCATATATATATATATATATGCAGTAAAATCCCGTTAAGTTGGACTCTCAATGAACAGATAAACATTATGTCTTTCTTTTTAAAAAGTATAAAGAGGATGTGTGATAAACAATTAAATACTTTATTATAAAGAACGAGAGATCTCTCTAAAGGTAAATGATATCAGAAAGAGTAAAAAGAGAAGAAATATATGTGAAACAGCGGGATGTTAACCTGGGTCTACGCGGCAAATGTCTTAACTGAATGAGCTATACGTTCATTCAACTAAGTGAATAGTAATATTTATTTAATATATAATTAAGAAACTATATAAAACAGAATTTACAGAAAGAGATACGTATGCAAATAGGATTCTATATATCAAGAAAATGAATAGTAATGTGAACAATTAGATGCTTATAATTAATATCTGGACTCAAAAACTAGTTACTTTTAATGGAACACAATAGACTGTAGGAGCCTCAGGGAAATTATATTCAGAAATGGTTATATTTGACTCAGAGTTAGCTAGAAATTATTACAAAGTAT